ATCAATTATAGGATAATATAATTGATCGAGCCATCGAGGCTAGGTCAAATGGGTACTGTCTGCAAGTTTGGGCATTCTCGTGCGTCTCCACTCATTTCATATCAGCTGGTTGCTTCACTCTCAGCCGTAGCCCTCCATGGCTATGTCATTGTCCATGGGCTTAGGAGTCCCTAGGTCTCACCACACTTGAACCAACCAGCCCTTCCTCTTCTCTCTCTCATCTCCAGGTCAACGGTAGTCTATGGAGTGTAGTTGAATTCAGCCCATTTCTTCATTGCTGCCTTTCCCCCTCTTCCACTCACCAGTAGACCAATGTGGTCACCAGGAAGCTTATGTGCCTGCTCTTTTGTTCAGTCTTGGAGGGGGATTTGTCCTTAAAGGGCTTGATTGCTTGCCTTGATGGCTCCCCAGTGAACAACTTGCTTGATCTTGTAGTAGCCAATCATACTGCCATTTTTGTTTTGTTTTTCCTGCTGATCTTTCTTTGAAGATGTATCTTCTGTTGCTCTAGCTGTTCCAGGCTGGTCTGCTTGTTCTTTCTAGTTGGAATGTCCCACCTCAGAAGGTTCTGGATGGGTCTCAGGATTCTACCTAAGGTCCTATACTCTGCAAAGGCTCAGCAAGAAGCCCATTTCACTGGGCAAGTTCTAGAACCTCTTTTAGGTATTCCCATGAGTTATAGGCTGAAGACGGCCTTACAAGCTTTCTGTAATCTTGTTTCCTGATATTTCTTCTATCCCATCAACTGTGTGTTTTGCAATAATAGGTAATGAAAACCAATATTCATAAGATAACGCAAAACATTAACATTATTTCCCCTTTTCAGACTATGCCTCAATCCTTGTATCACAGAGCCCTGTTGTTCCAAGGTTGAGCATCCATCACTATTTACCTCTATCCCATTTAACCAATGCAAACCTGCCTCTGTGTTCCCCTCTCTACCTTGTTCTTCCACCCCTCCCCTTTCCCTTAAGGTTTTATAGCTTGTCAGAATTGGATAGATTGCAAATTCTGAAAGCATTTCCAAAATAGAAGTGAAAAAATAATAATTAGCGGGAGCTTTTCTAAGTGATCATTTAAAAAGGAAAAGCTTAGCCTTTATGTAAAATAATATATAATTAATTCATTAAAAATAAATATTGTTACTGATACCAGGTTGTAGTTAATAGGTAATAATTGATACTAAAATAAATAATCTTTTGTGAACAGCCTAAGTTACTTACAGACACTGACACATAGGTTATCATATTCTAGTGAGATGGCAGAGATTTCTAAACCTGGCATTGATAGTCCATGATTCTTTCATCAGATAGCTGTCTTCCTGCCAATCATCTTTCTTAGAGCTCCTTTCATGTCCTTGTTCCTCAGGCTGTAGATGAAAGGGTTCAGCATGGGGGTCACCACTGTGTACATTACAGTCGCTGCAGTGTCTTTCCCAGCTGAGTGGGAGGATGAAGGGTTGAAATACACAGCAATGATGGTGCCATAGAAGAGGGAAACCACAGCCAGGTGGGAGCCACAGGTGGAGAAGGCTTTCCATTTCCCCTTTGTGGATGGGATTCTTAGGACAGCACAGGAGATGTAAATATAGGAAACCAGGATGCAAACCATCGGGGTTAACACTGTCAGCCCCCCCACAGTAAGAACCATCACCCCATTGAGGTGTGTGTCAGAGCAGGAGAGTTTGAGGAGAGGAATTATATCACAGAAGAAGTGGGGGATTATGTTATCTGCACAGAATGAGAGTTGAGCTGCCAGCAGGGTGTGCAACAAGGCATTCATATTGGAAGTGACCCATGATCCAGCGACCAACAGAGCACAGAGCTGATGGGTCATCTTTGTTGTATAGTGTAAAGGGTGGCACACAGCAACAAAGCGATCATAGGACATCACAGCCAAAAGGAAATTGTCCATGTCACCAAATACAATGTAAAAATACAGCTGTGTGAGACATCCAGGGAAGGAGATGGACTGACTCCCAAGTATGTGGTTGGTCAGCATTTTGGGGACAGTGGTGGAGGAAAAGCAGACATCCACGAAGGACAGGTTGCTGAGGAAAAAATACATGGGGGTGTGCAGACAGGAGTCTGTGCTGATGGCCAGGATGATGAGCAGGTTTCCCAGGACTGTGGCCAGGTACATGCTCAGGAAGAGCACAATGAGCAGTTGCTGCTGCTGGGGCTGCATTGAGAGCCCCAGGAGGAGGAACTCAGAGACACTTGACTGGTTTGCTGAACTCATGAGTCTATGTTCAGATGCAAAGAGAGACACAAACAGAAATCTAGGAACTGAAGGTTCAGATGGGATGGGTCAGGCTCCATCCATGGTCTTATTTACTTTATCAGAGTTGCTCAGTCAGGATCTCTCTCCCAGCCCCTATCCCCCTTCTGGCTCCCAGTCTTAGGTGATGCTGGTCTTACCTGACTCATCCTTGTGATATTACATAAAAAAATAAAGCCAACACAGAGACATACTCAGCTGATCTCTGTGACTGTGTGTGCCCCCTTTTAACATTTCCTAGGGATTTCTTCATGCCTTACTAGCTCATAAAAAGATAATAGAAACAACTGATTATTAGTGGGTTTATTTCATGATCCAGTTACTAGATTCAAGATTACTGCTCTTGCTTCTTAAATCTACAAGATTTAAAAGCAGAAGTCCCTAAATGAACTTTATGTCTTAATGTGTAGGTATAAGAACATCTCCTCTGGTGTAATCTTACCTGGGTAAAGTTGGTTCTGTAGCTAGCATGTGTTCTTCATTTCTCTATGAATGCCCAATGCTTTTCTCTATGGTGGGGATTGGAAAGTGTTGGAAATATGGACGATCCTGAGCAAATAAGGAATAGGGGTTCATGGTCTTAGCTCTCTGTGCAGGAAAGACATTTGGGGAAACCACAGAGCAAGCATTTACAGGGGACACTCCATGGTCACTGGAGATAGATTCCCCAAGAACCTCATTAGAGACAAGAACACTGATTATTCCACCTACCTTTTGGCTCCTTTTGGACTAAACACAAAATGATGACAGAGTATTGTGTAACTCTTGAGTAAGAACTTGTAGGTAAAACCATCTTGGCGGAAAAAAGTTCCAAACCAAATCCCCTAGGACCTCAAATCTTATCACTCTGGTCACCTGAGTTTATGTCTATAGATTTGGAAATCTGTAAATTAAGTTCATTAGTAATTTTCTTCTTACTTTCTTAATCAGGGAATTGGGTTATTGCTGTTTTGTTTCTGTAAACCTGTTTTTGTTATTTTTTTCCCTTCAGGTCTGACCATTTGTAAAGACTTACTGATCTGTTTCCCAGTTGGGATGCTGTGGGCAGATTATAGAGCTGTTCTTAATCTCTTAAAGCATAGAGTTTGAAGGACAATCTCTTTGTAATAGGGGAGGTAATAAGAATAGAGGACATCTGGAGGAGTGTATCATGATTGAGGAGCGAGCTCCAGGGTCTGGAGTCTACTACTCATCAGTCCTTTTGTCAGACTTTGGTGACTTGTGTGTTTCTGTGATTCTGGAAGCTATGCCACTGGTATTTTAAATACCAGCAGGGACACTCATAGTGGACAGGTTTCAGTGGAGCTCGCACACTAAGACAGCCTAGGGTGAAGGAGAGTCAGACCACTCTGAATGGTTAACCACTGAAAACCTTATGGAATAGCAGGATGTTGTCTGATATAGTGCCAGAAAATGAGTCCCTCAGGTTGGAAGGCACTCAAAATATGACCAGAGAAGAGCTGCTTCCTCAAAATAACCTTGACCTTAATGACATGGACATAGCTTAGCTTTGGGGACCTTCATTTGCTTGTACAGCACAATTCAACATGAGAACAACTCCAGACATCCATTAATAATTGGAAC